CGTGAGTGCAGCTGGCTAGAGCCTGCACATTTGACCGGGTGTTGATGTTTCATCTGCAGGCATATTGTTAACTGGCATTTATCATCTGCGTCCTGAGACAAAATTACATTAGAACATCTTACATTTTTATAAATAACGTTTGTGCAGTGTTAGTATTCTAAATGGAGAATGAACGTTTTTATGGCCCTCACGTTTTGCTACATGAGTTGACTGAAAGCGCGTCTGTCGAAAATGCGGCAAAAACTATTCTAGACGAATAACTGCATTATTTTTCTGCACTTTATGTCAGTCAGTAGGTTTCTTCGTTGCTTGTCGTGTAACTGGAATTGATAAGTTGACTTAACGCAGACCAATTAGATCAGCTACACCGTGAGTCATCTCTGCAGTGAAATTTGGCGAGATCTACGAACCCAATTCAGTCGTAAATGGCCGTTTATTATCGACGTTTGATCGAGAAAGGTATTTGCAAGCCAGTTCGTTTATCTAACTCAATCCTTTCTAACATATCATGTTTTTGGTAATTGTTCAAACATAAAGATACTTCTGTTTAACGCGGAATTCCTTAAAGTGATTTATTTCAGCTTTTCCAAAAACCTTGCAAATAAGTAACCACTGGCAAAAGCATGCGCATTTGGCTGTGTTGACGTTTCATTTACTAAACGGTTTTTAACTGAAAGTAATCATAATGCGTTGTAGAACCAAAAAAACCCTAACTATTTCGATTACCCAAAGATTGACCCAGTTTAGATTTTTCTCCATTGGTGTCCTAAAACGCTCCACCAATTTTTGTTGAGGGATTCCCCACATTTCAGAGAAAGTGAATTCCAGATGTAGGGACTACTTAGGCGGTATTTGACTTAGACCGCTAGCAAAATAAACTAATAGCTTTCCTCTACCTGTGATCTTCAGGCATTAAAACGCTGCGCTGGCCTTACACTTTAAATGCATACACTTTGTCGCTTTGATGAGTGTTTGTTTCAGATTCTTGCATTACTTTAAGCTGAAATCGGCAGCGATTACCTTAGCTGCGTATTAGTTGCCGTCACTTTAAAGTGTGATAAACGATTTAACGGTCCATTTCGCAGCTGTTCTTCTTTGCCTGCACCACTAATCGTCCTAAACTCCCGCGTTTTCCTTCCTTTGATTGTGCCTTTTTCCCGGCCAATCCTGATCCCGCGTGGACTCGGCGACTCCTTTGTGATCTCCCTACGCAGCAGCTTTTTACATGAAGCAGTGAAGTGTCTGACTTGCGAGCTAGTTGAGACGCGAACTCGCATAATTAAATTAACGATCTTCGCACTTTCCAAAAAATATTTTTTTTCATTATAACGGTCTATTTTAAAATTACACCAGCACGAAGTTTTCGAGAATGTAACATTTACCAAGTGTTACAGCCTTGAGTAAAGTAAATTTAATGAAATAGTCGAAAATTAGGCCCATATCTAATCTGCTTCTGTACCCAAAATTCATTAATTGAAATTCAAAACGAGATTTGATGATAGCAAGGATTAACACCTAACCTGCCAAGAAACTGCTTTTAAAAAGTGGTGGTAGTCGTTTAAATCAGTGAAACGATGTCATCTGTGTAGATGTGCAAGCAGCGTATCAATTACACTAGGCTTTTGATTTTAGTTGACGTCTGTAACTAAGTACCTAAGATTTCATAGCAATTTGATTCCTTCAAAATTCCATCCACTGATCCTCTTAGTTCTTGTAACCAAATCTGCATTAAAAACCAACAATCTGCACTGAATAACGCCTTTGGTTTATTCTATAGGCTGATTTAAAGGAATGAAATCGCCCATCGTAAATTGCGGGAAAATATTTGTCGGTTTGTTTATACTCTTTGGCGCGATGTCTGTTCGCTTAATTAAAACAAAAATCATTTGCCAAATGCTAAATATGATCGATTTATTTCATTTTTGTAAGTACGTTTGACCAAACCTAATCGAAATCCTTGCGTTTTAAAGGAAGCTTAAACTAGGACTACACAAATTTGTGATTTGTACAGAAATTTTTTGGCACATAATTGGTGTTTTACATTTTACAATGTAGCGGACTTCTTAAAAACTGATGGTGTTCAATTTCAGTAGGTGCCACAGGTAACAAAAAACCACCACGAAATTTCCGTCTAAATTGACGCGTGTAGAAACGTTGGATTTGTCTTAGACACTGCCCCCAGCCAACACCGCAAGAGAGTAAAACTTGGCCAATCCTATGAACCAGCAGTTTACCCGGCGATACATACTCAGACCCCAATGTATTCAGGGGTACAGCTAATTGTCATTTTTAATCGAAATCCACAATTCACTGCAATTTGTTAGTTGGAGGCACGGTTTCGCTTTAGTTTATCCGGAACTAATCTTTACATTCTACTCACGTTCAACCAGCACTACCACAAAAGCACATCGATTTTTTTACACAGACAAAAAACCGCATTATTTTCATTGGTTCGCTGTAAGGTGATTGCAGCACCACACGTAGAAAGGTAGATTTTAATATTTTCAAACTCATTTCAAAAATGTAGCGTTTTGTTGAAAATCCACTGGGCAATTAAAAGGACCCTGAGTTGATGCTTTTTACCCTTACGGTCTTGCCTTTTTACAACTGCCGCCATTTCTCATTCCACCACCTTAAACCGTGGCTCTTTGTTCAAATCCATTATTACGGTGTCTTTGAAGTCGAACCACCGCGTCTATGCCAACTTTACGGGGAAATTTTCGTCTGTAATTCAACCTGCGTCATTAGCGAAGAAAGGCATCCAAAATACCGCGTAATTACGCAACTTTTGTTTACATTCGCGTCTGAAAACTATAAGGTAATTCTTAAAATATTAACCATCGTGTGTTTGAACGTGAGAATCCCAGTTGGGAACCAAAAAGCTTAGAATAGCTGGATTTGTGTTGAAAATGCGTTTTGCTAAACTCAGCCTATCGTGATCCCCGTGGCGTGGTTGCTTAATTTCCCGAACTAAATCATCTCCCTCGGTAGTGTTTTGTCGAAACAAGGTAAGTGGCCATTTAACGGAAACCCAGAGGCTGTAAAATGCGACTCGATATAAAAATTGACTTATGTACCTGGTCACTCACGGAAAGGCAGCATAGTTGAATAATTGTCTTTTTATTATTAGCCTTCTTGGATCCAATTGGCTGGTCTGTTTTCGCGCGTCATTTCAAATCACCTGTCGCAAGCGTTACTACTAGTCTGAGAACTACTGACTTTTAAAATTCCTTGAAAAAAGCGTATTAATGAATTTGTAGCAGGCTGTTTCAAGAAATGTGACATTTCCTCACTATTAGAAAGAAATTCACGTTGTGTGCAATCCAATTCAAGTACGAGGTACGTGTCTAGAGCATTAATCTCGAAATTGCATATTAGTAACTCAGTCTGAATAGGTAGGTTATGGTTTTAATTTCTAAGAAAGTGACCACATTGTCGGCAATAATTCAAAATGTGCATCGTTTTAGTTCATTCACACCAGAAAGAACGGAAGAAGACATGGGCTTTTTCTCATTCTTCACAGGCTCTATTTGATTCCAATTCCGATGAAAATCTGGAAGATTTTGGTTGTGTACCTTTAAAGCCTGTACCTCCGACGAAATCGCCGGTAATTTGGCAGAAGACTGCGCTAAATTGCAAACTAAAAAGGCTGGATTTCAAGAAATTTTGGGCCAAAATACTTGCAAAAATTTTAGTAGATTTGTAGAGCTTTTACCTCTAACTAAATCGGCTGCATTTCGCCAGAAGACACTGCTAAACTGCTTCCCGAAAAGGCAGAATTTAGGTGACTTTTAATCCCAAATTCTTTCAGAAAGTACCGTCGATTTTTTGTGTGGAATACTTCAAGACAAAACGCTACATTGAGTTCTTTGTTCGGCCTGGTTTTAGGCCTGTGATCGCGCAAAAAAATTAACTACCGCTGAGGACTAACTCGACTAGTTTTTTTGCATAATTATGCAAATGCTAATAATAGCAGTCGTCGGGGCATAGGAACTGAATGTGCGTCTAGGATTTAACTTTATTTTTTTTCAATTCAATCTGCGCATGGCCCTCCAGTTCTGAAAACTGTATCCAAACTCTAGACATCCAAGGATTCCTTGATGAAATAGAAGCCATTGCAGATTCTTGAAGACAACTTCCCGTGCAATCGACCTCACTTAAACATGGTGGCAGAGAATACCCATTCAACAATAACCTAGATGGTTTTACAACGAAGCATACTAAATTCCTAGCCGAGAGCTTATTTTATGTTTGCCAAACCGGCATTCACATGAATCGGATGCCTCAAATGAGGCATCAGGGAAATCATCAGTTCCAAAATTAGTTCTCTCTCAGCACTTGTTTGTGTCCGTAATCAACGAAAACATGGTCCATTTGACCTTGATAAACGGAGAAGGCAAAAAACCAACTGGTAAATGCAAAATCTTTGATAACAGAACGAATAAGTAGGTAAGTGAATAGTTCCAAACTGGCAACGACCCTGACACTACATAGCAGCTTCATTTGGCAAACAGGAGGAACGGATTGGATGAGGGTAGAGATTTTCCTCTAAACAGAGGGGCGTGATAAAGGCACTGTGAGTGTGTGAAGGTGTGTATGATAAGTGATTTGTACAGCTGGCTAAGTCGCGAGCCACAGATTCTAGCAGAAGTGGAAATGACTGTCGCAGTAAGATACTCCTCGAACACCTGGCGACACCTGAAAGGATTAAGATCATTCAATGCGTCCTATTGATGGCACTTGATTTAATTCTTTTCGCATCTAATCCCCTCCACTTTTGCTGACTCCATGAAACCAGTTATCGACTAATCGAGGGTCAAATCGAAGACTCTGGGAGAATGCGGGGTAGGTACCTGCAATCCCGACCCTTGTGTGAATCCCAAGCCTTCATTGGTTAGTGATTCGTACTGATAATGATAAAATTCACTTTGTTTGAGCTTTGCTACAGTAAATAATCCCGACTAAAGCCTGAAATGTGTAATCAGTAGTGAGTACCTGACTCAATCAGCTCGGTGGGCGTAGTAAGACTCCCGTCGAGCTGCGGCAAACATGGTTCGAGCCATTTCAAGGTCCTCCTTTCTCTCCTCCTCCTGCCTCTGCTGTTGCTCCTCAGCATCCTTCCGGCGCTAAAATGAAACATCGAAAATTGTCTGACTTTGTCTGCAGCACCTGTTGGTGCGTTGGTGCAGGGACCAACACTTTAAAATGACAAACTGATCATTTCAAATTCTGGAATTAAATTTTACATGAATACTTTGTTAGTAAATAGAAAACACCGCAGCAATATTGGCATAAATTGTGGAAAAAGTGTATGATTGGGCTACGAGATCTGACTGTCATGTGAGCGGGCAGTATTGCCTTGCGTCACTCATAGAACAGGGTTAGATTAAAACAAGTTCACGGGGTCTAATATTCGGTGTTTTTAACAGCTTAATTCTTCTATTTTGAAATCCGACACAATGTGGAAGTGGTGCCACAATTTTACCATTTGCAGACACCAAATTTCTCGAGTTTTACAAATGCTACGAAGATTCTCGGTAAAATCCGTGGAAATATCTCTACCTCTGCAATCGCCAGCCCGATGTTGGTGCCAGAATCAACCAATCACGAAAACGCTGTCGGCTCAGCTCGCACCAACCCCATCTCATTAATTATTTTCGCGATTTGAACAGTTTTCGTAGAAACCCATATCAATGAAACTGCATAGTTGAGTAAACAGTGAAGCATTCCGCAGTTTTTGACGCAAAAAACCTCGCTGGCAGCAGTCAGTAAAGAACAAATTTCATGACTAAGAGGTGGTGAGAGGAAACGCAGCTAAGAAAAGTTAAAAATTTTCTTTTCAGCTGAACGTGCCAGCTGTTATGATAGGTAGAGGAGGCGGAGGAGGAAGAAACGGGGGAAAATATTGCCCAGAGTGTTTCGCTGCGTCACAATACCTTCAGAGCCGTTGGTGCACTTCGCGTCGAGTCGGCAAATGTTTGCTCGGCAGGGAGCAAAAAACGGTGTCAAGCACAACACCGGTGAATTAACGTGCAATTTCGGTATCAGCTAAATGCAAGCAAGCGTAGGCGAAGCAATTTTTTCTGGTGCTAGAAAACTGCCAAATGGTTGCGCTAGTTGATTGCTTTTGTCGTAGAACCTAACTGTGTCTGCAAAGGAGATCTTCAAAAACGCAGTGCAAAATGGTCATTTGGGTTGCGAAAACCAATGACATCAGCACTCAGTATGCTATTTGCATTCGATTCTTCGAAGCATCCCGCTAAACACACGCTCAAATGGATCTTAAAGTTAGAGCATTGCCAAATCCACTGTACATAAGTCGGCTAGTTGTGATTTTCTACCATTAAAAAGCTCAGAATGGTAGAAAAACTTGTCAAACCTGGCAAAAACGTCAGGCCAGCAGACTTACGAGGTAAGAACTGCCGCGTCGGATGAGACCCATCAGCCCACCACCAGACTTCTCCTCGCCACCCGAAGGCTGGATCGAGCGTTTCACCTTCCTAATTAAGAAAAAAGGGAAACACAGAAGTTGCTTATTTTGAACAAGAAAGAAACAGAAATTTATGCTGTTGATCAGTTGAGGGCCTTCTAAGGTGAGTGACACGTTCTGCACTCCGTGTGGTCAATTTGCATTTATTATGCATGCCCCCAAGGCGTGCGTCTACGGAGATGCACTTTTTTCCCGCCTCAACCGCGATATCATGGGTTTTCGCGCATAAATAATCTGCGTTGACAGCGAACAGCGTTTCCGGCAAAATTAGTGGATGATTAGGCGTGTTGACAAATCGTCAGACTACAAAAGTTCAACGACTTTTCAGCAGGCCTTCGTAAACGCTTTGGTTTATACCAATAAAAATAACGCACAAAAGCATTGGAGAATGAAATTTCTCGTTCCGAGATACCTCAAAATAGGCCTGTTTTAGATTGAAACCAATAAATTTTCTTGCCAATCAAGCAATCTTATTGCCTCAAAGGTTGTTGGGACTCGTGTTTATTCACAACCCTTAACCCGGTCGCTCCACCTCCGACACAGGGTTCCCCTTGTCGCAGCGTGTCGCCAGCCACGCGGAGCCTCAAGTCCCTCTTCAATCACACGGCTATTTATCTTCGATTAACCTCACACATGGGTCTCGATGTTTCCGCATGTATCACTCACACATCCAGGGCATAAATACACACGCGCGAACCCCACACACGACACAACGACACCAACGTGGTTGAGCTCTGAAGTAAGCGATCCTGTCCATGTCCTCTCCGATCGTTTTCTTCATCGTGGGTATTAGGTAAGCGAAATCGGGCCAGGGTTAATTCCGTGGCCTCGACGTGGTTTAAGACCACATGCTGGGGCCCACAATAGGGTAGTTAAAGTTGCTCACAATATGTCGATTTTGGTCTGGATATGAAACTGTCAGTTAATAGTGATAGCGACAATTCATAGCCTTCTGCGTTGAGCTCCACAAATGTCCGAGAGGTATTCCACTTCTGTTAACTGCGTAGGTGTCTGGAACATTCGCATTTCAGTGTACACGCACGTCCAAAAATTCAAGAATCAGACGGCAAAATTGATAAGAAAACGCATTACTTATCAAGTGAATCTGGTAAACACGGTTATGCCTGTCATTAGCGCATGATTTCGGTTTAAAACGGCGTCAATAATTATTGGGCACTCAATATTACCGCAAATAAAATGTGAACAAATTTGACAGAAGCCCAGAACCCAGAAAACACTATTGCGATTTTTCGCCGCTGTTCTTCGTGAGCTAGAGCAATCGGAAGAGAAAAAGCAAACAATATTTGGCAAGCAAATGGAAAAAAAGAATTAGCAAAACGGGAGCTGTGTAGGTCCTAAAATGAGTTTCTCAGCTACCAGAAAATCAAGGAAATTTCTGGACCAGTTTTCTTAGTTTTCAATAAAACTCGGGTTATTTTTTTTATACCAAATAAAACCCTCTTTCAATTTACCCAGCAACCAACTTTGTCCACTTCCTGCGACCTGACTCATGAAAACACCGATCAAATTATTGTATATTTTCCCGTTTATTTTAAAGGAAAGGTTTACACACGCTTAAATTGAAGTCAATGACTGCAAAATCGGAATATCAGGAGGCTTTTTTTGCCGGACCAACGACACACCGGCCATTTATCGTAAGACCTTTTAATGTCACAGCTAGAAACGCAAATATTGACTGGAGCAATCCCCAGAAACGTGAATATGTCTTGCGAAATTTGTGGACAGTATGTTCGAAGTTGGTCTCGTTGTAAACTCAGATGCGTCTAGCAGTCCTGTTGACCCCAGAAATCTGTCGTAAGTTGAAGTGTAGTACTGCTTCTCGGAATACTACGTGGTTCTGACAACAATTCCACTTCTGTGTGACTCAGTTCCATGGTAAAAGGGAGATTGAAAAGTACTTATTCACTAAATTCTACGCCGTGAATTTAGACAAAACTGATTGTAAAAAGCGCATTAATTGGAAATTAAATTAATCATCACCGTGGCTACGGTCACGTCAGGACACAAAAAATAGGAGGTCCGGCGAAAAAAAAGTCACTTCCGTTACGCATGAGTCACAAAACTACGATGGTGAAGTGAGAGCAGCCATGGTTTGTGGCGTTAAAAATTCCACATCTTGAAGCCTTGGAAAGGCGAACTTACTCACACGCAACGCGTTTCGCTGGGTAGACGTATGGAGTCAGCTACCTGGGACACTGTCGTTGCGATTTTGTCACCGAAGAGGCATCTCCTGCTATGGTGAACTTAAAAATAGCTGTGTGAGGGGTAAACCACCATCCCTGGGGTTCCACAATACCACCCGAAATTGACAGACATGCTCGTTTGTGGATTTAATCGCTCTGAGTGGAAAAAAGAGTTAGGGGTTTTCCAGGAACACATCTAAACGAACCAATGAGATCTTCACGAATTAGCCTAGCTCATTCCGTGCTTCTGAAGATCACTAAACTAAGAAAGTCAATCTCGGATTTATCAAGATCACTGTTAGAGGGTGAAGAAGATGCAGTACTAGGATGGAATCGTCCACCCACAAAGCGAAGACGAGGCGGCATGAAAAGAACCGCGCAGCCGACGGTTTCGGCTGATCTGCGTGTGTAAGCAAACACGGCCCGAGTTAATTAGCATAGGTATCGCCGTGAGAACCAGGTGGATCGCCCGACACTGAGAACCAAAGCCATCCCAGGCCCAAACACTCCAGCAACGCCGCAAAGGCTTTTAAATATATTTTAGACGTCTGCGCAATAGGTCTGCTGCTTCTAGCAACTTCAACCTTATGGAACATGACCTTCGTGTGGTACTTCCACAGATTGTGGAAGGCACATAGACTAGATCCGCCGCTTCTAGCGTGGCTGACTCATCAGTTGGAAAATTCAGATTTTAATTAAGCTTTTTCCTGTTTAGATAATTTTGTTAGTTTAAAGGATCGTCTAAAAAATGGTGTCTCAGAGTGCCGCGCACAAACACTCAAGATCACGTCAGATTACGCTTATTGAAAACCGTGAAGATTTAACCACATAACGCCAAGTTAAAACAGTCAAGTAGCTTTGCCCTAATCCGTCCCAATGTACAGAAACTGGTAAATGTTTAGTACAAGAAAACGAGATGTCACATTCTTCTGGCTTGTCATACCCCTGGATTAGAGCCATCATGATACAATCCCCCAGCGTCTCTGCTTCTGTTTGAAGTGATTGCTTTAATTTCACATCGACAGAGATCCGTTGATGCAGAGAGCCGTGTGCCAAGCTGAAAATGACAGTTCTTCAGGGAAAAGTTGTCGTAGCGACGAGAGCACGGGACCGTGAAGGTGACAAGTGGAGTGTTAGCATGAACGGTGAAGTTGAAGGCAGCTCGACAACTCCTCTTCTCCGAAGGTAACATCAGAGTGTCAGCAATGTGAAAACACGGCTTCAATGGTAAATGCTTCACAAGGGTTCCTCAAACGTGTCTCTTGCTACTTCTGCTGCTACTAATACCACGACGACGACTACCACCACCATCGCCGCCACTACTACTACTACGTCTTATCCCTCGCTCAATTCCTCTAACTGTTCTCCCACTTGTTCAACAACAACAACAACGCCAGCACTGCAGTGATGGACGTGGTGGTGGTGGTGTTGGTGGTGGCATTAGCAGTAATAGTGTTGGCCAAATTGCACCAAGTACTTGCATCTCATGAGCTGAGACAAGCATTCTGCGTGCCTTAATTGGATATCGGCCTGAGCATTTTGGCAATGGTAGATCACATCTGTTCCACTTGCACGTCAGTTTCGACTCCCCAACGTACAATATAACTTTGTGAAGCCTTAAATGCCACCATGTGAACCTCATCATACTCACCACCTCTTGTGGTACTCGACTGCGGACTGCTACTACTGCTAATGCCACTACTGCTCCCTTTCTCTATCTCCCTCGCTCTCCCACTCACTCTGCTGCTCCCATTGCCTACTTCTCTCACTCCAACAACACGCATACGTTGTGAGTCGTACTGATTCACTCTCGTTTGTCCGGCCGCTCCATTCTCCGACCAAACGCCACCTTTTTACAGCTGGCCGTCAGACATGGGTGAATCTCAATTCACACTGGATTAGCGCGGATGCTCATGTTGGATCATCATGACGTGTGATGGCATTCACCACGCTGTTTTACATGTCTGTGCTATAGATAAACACGCGCAAGCACCACATACGACACACCGACAAGAATTTGGTTGAGCTATATACTAAACGGTTGTGTCTACGGCACCGCCGGTATTCTGCATCTTCGCGCGCATCAGAGAAGCGTAATCGGGCCAAATTATCCGCAGTGGCTCAATTCAACAGGACCCATTACACCCTCTTCATCTTGTCAAATTTTTGTCGAAAAGAACATCTGACCCCGATTCTTCACAAACTCAAATGTTTCCTCAAAATCTCGCTATTTGAAAGCATTAGTACACAGTTCTCTCTCTTGTTTGTGATTTTAATCAGGAGATTCGATGCCCGGAATTGGCTCAAACGTGCTTCTAGACACGAAATCCCATCTCAAATACCGCGTCCTGCGCCTCAAAGATGCAGGAGTCAGATTTATCCTGACTTTTTCTCTCGATAACATCCATATTTAATTAAGCTGATTGATGTTGACGGCGGGTTTAAAGAGCAACGAGGAGAGTTTTTTTTTCGTCCCAAACACCTCCTTTTGCTGTCTGAAATCAAAAGCTCGCGGGGGCGTCGGAGCGTTAAAGGATTTTGGCGCACAGCTGTAGTGTGGCGGACTGATAGCTGGATCAGAGGTGTGTGCGTCCCCGCACATCAAAGACTTCGCCAGCATCAGGGAAGAAGTTTACACCCCTAACTCGACTGCCGTCTTGTTATTTCACATTCGTTCCCTGCAGTTCTAAAACACGCACACTAACTAGACGGCTGCCCGTTAAATTATCAAAGATTCCACTTTTTCTGCACTTAAACTAAACGTCTTGCTTGAGATATCTACAAGGATAATTTAATCCTACAACCTATGAGGCCAGAACCATTGGCCGACAGTAAATTCCGGCGTAAAGGTTTCCACATTTCTTTTAGTACCCCCAGATTTCAATGGAGGTGTAGTGAATCCTGTTTATTCAACCCCTTATTCCGGTCGCTCCACCTCCGACACAGGGTTCCCCTTGTCGCAGCATGTCACCAGCCGCGCGGATCCTCAACTCCCCCCTCATTCGCATGAATATTTATCTTGGATTAACCTCACACATGGGTCTCGAGGTATAAGTACACACACATGCGCGTGTGTACTTATACCTCGCAAATCCGAGGTATAAGTACACATGCGCAAACCCCACACACGACACAACGACACCAACGTGGTTGGGCTCTGAATTAAACGGTTACGTCCACGTCCTCTCCGATCGTTTTCTTCATCGCGGGTATCAGGGAAGCGTAATCGGGCCAGGGTTAATTCCGTGGCCCCGGTGTGGTTTAAGACCACATGCTGGGGCCCACAACAGAAGCAGCGAAACGCGGCATAGAGGATCCGCAATGAGGTCGTGAACGTACTTGCTGTCGTCGAGAGAGGCGACTGCGATGACGGAGGGGTGAGGTGCGTGGACTTGAATGACAGGCAGCTGTCCATCACCAGGCTGCTGAGTGGCGCCGTTGGCACCACCGCCTGCCTGCGCCTGGCGCTTCTTCACCTCCGGGTCCTCGGTGATGTCGCGGTGACCCGAGGAGACGTGCTTCTTGCCGCGCTTTCGTGTCCAGTCGGTCAGGGTTCTTCCCAAGATCCCTCCGCCCGGTATCACATCGAGCTAAAGTTGGCAAAGAAGGCGTTTGTCGAAATCCACGGCCTTCTTTCGGCACATAACATCAAAGTAGCACGCTTAGGTTACCGGATAATGTTAAGAATTTAATTTAAAATAGAAATATTTTCACGATCTTGTGCTGTTTTGGAGGGATCGGATACAGAGTTTACGATGGCAACCAAGAAACACCACATTCGGCACTGCGTTTTATGCGACTTCCAACAATCAAAAAACACTTCTACAGTACAGGAATCATTTTGTAATATTCATGGTGCCGACCTTGAATTTTATGAAGCGCGAGGTTATTGGAACAAACGAGTTCGATCTTAGCAACCAGCCGCGCCCCGGACAGCCTTGTATCTACGAAGACGTGGAAGCGTTTGTACCTGCGTATCAGGTAGGATATTAGGGGTCCAATTAATTACGAGCTCCTGTAAAATTGTCAGACGGTGACTGCCGAAGGCTACAGCCAACAGTTGTGCAAAGAGAGCTACGAACGTCATCAGAAATGGCCATTTACTAGGCAAGGGAGCAGCCAAGTCATACTGCTGCGTGACAGCACTCGACCTCACGTTGCTCGCGCGATTCAGAAGACCCTCTTGAACTTGGGATGGGAAGCTCTCCTACACACGACATATTCCCTTCCGGCTAACATTTGTTCCGGTCAGTGCAGCACGCCTTAATGGACAAACAGCTCAATAGGCAAGTTGTTTCCGAGACGGCATTCGTACGTTACCAGAGAGATGGTGCAAGGTCATAAAAACGATGGACATTATATTCAGGATTAGGTTTATTGTTCTGCATTGGTTACAGCAACTAAATCTGCTAAAAACTCCATAACAACCAAGTCATACCCCTAGTAATTCCCCAAACTGTTTCCATGATGAGGTACGGGGATACTAAATCGTTGCGAAACCCAGATCCTCAATTAACTGCTAAAAACCCAAACGCCAGTCAAAATTAACACTATGATGTGAAAACATGAGGTACAAGATGAGAATTCTTGTTGGTTCAAAGGAATTAACAATTAGACATAGCACTTTGAATTGCTTTTATGAGCGTCAAAATCGATTGTAAATTCAAACAACGCGGCAATATTATACAAAACGTTTTCTAATTTACACAAATCTAGCATCAAATAACTAAACCACTGGGTCTCAGATGAATTCGACGCTGTTTAGAGCATTGTTGTGTTAATCAGCCAAGGTGGCGGACTATTTGAACGCATTTGCATTGTTTTAACTTGGTTTATAGACTTTAACACAGCCAAGAAGATTTGGTTCATGTGTCTATAACAAAATCTAAGTCAATTTTTCCGTACCTTGAGTTCTATGCGGAGAATTTAAATATTAAATATTACGCGGGTAGACGATGACGTAGTAATCTAATCAACATTCTTCTTGCCCATGACCCGTTATAGCTTTCATTCACGCAGTCGTTTGCTGCTTTATCTGTTTGTTGTGTATAAAGAAGTGCTTATTTGTATCACCGCGTTTTGGACAACCAAAACCACACATTGTTTCCACAATTGCAATCAAGATAAATAGGCAACCGCATTCGTTACTACCTGAGCGCCAGTGCCATTCAGGTAAAAATATAGCCTGTTTTTGTCAAACAAACAGCATTACACAACATGAAAAAAGATTCTGCGTTGGTGAATTAGACAAACAACACATATAAAGGGTTTTTTTCTGAGGTTAGCGCTCGGGAAATAACTGTGCATACAGAATGGCCTGGTCAACGCAAACGAAAAATGAAAAGAAGAGGGTGTTTGTGTGTGTTCGATGGGTACACAAGGGGCCAGACCAAACCCCCCAGCACGAACACGGTCTGGCCCATTGTCTGGTCATATCACCTCTCAGCAACACATCATCGTCAATATTTGAACGCAAACTGAAGACAAGGCACTTCTCATTTAAATTGAACAGCTAATTCGTGTTGACAAAGGTTGCGCCTCCTTGACCCCAGTGAACTGAAAACAATTCCGATTTATTACCATTGAACTTAAATTGTCTTTCGTTCTTGTAGAGACAATAGAAGGGTCAAATAGTAATGAAGATGCAGTAATTAAACAAGCGTAGCGGGCTTGCAAAAGCTTGTAGCAAAGGAAATTTGGAACCGAAGGATGCCTAACTACGTAAATCTCTTGATTTACTCGGTACAATTCATTAAAATATTGAACAAAAACGCAAGTTGAGTCTTCCATAATGGTTACCAGAACCTACTAATCTGCATTTCCACCTGCCCACTAATTGAGCTCCCTTTAACCATGAATCAAGGCATTAATTTTAAAAAAATACACGTCAGGAAGAATGGTTCCTAGTCTGCCAAAGAAATTTACGGTAAATTGAAGTTGATCATTCGTTGTTTTAAAGTTCTACTGGTTGCCAAGGCAACCAGTTGTGCGAATGCCCAAAAACGGTGATTTACTTTAAACAAACACAAACTTTTAACAGGCTGACACGTTATTATTTGTCTTTCACCTGCTTCTGCAGTCTAGTGGGAACGAATGAAATTAAATTTTAATGACCTGAGCAGTTAGGAGGCAGGTTCGGAGGAGGAAGTCTAGTTTTTGGTAAACAAACTAACCTGGTTGGGTTAATTTGTTACCCACGAATTGCTAATTTACCGCGCTGACGATGATAATGACTCGATTAGCATACCTCTGAGTTACACAATTGAAACCAGCTGATTTCTTCTATTGAAATCACAGATGACTAGTTCTAATTTGCAATTATGGCAAATCATGGTTGCATAAATGCAACCCACTTGAAGATGAGGCACCTTTAAAACTACTTGTGGCGGAAATTTTTAAATATTGAGGAAAGACGGAGGTAGAAAACAAACGTTTTCGACATCAAAAGAACCACATCGGCTTAGCTCGAATAACCTAGAATGACGGCCATTAAGTGTTTAAGTACACTACTGCCTGACCGCAAACTACAAAGCAACATGCCCACATAATTGGTCGCCAACTGTTGACTGTATTTTTAGCAATGATGCGTAGGAAGATGTCCCTTGGGAAATCTTTTGTAGAACACTACAGACCGTGAGAGTTGTTATAATGGATTAGCTAGTCGTCTGTGCTGGATTTGACGGTATTGGTGAAGACGTGGAAGTAGAATTTGCAAGAGTACGGAATATGGACACGGCAGAGATGGGTGACGAGCAGTAGAGGATGGATAACTCAACGGTTTCACTAGAGGCGTCAATATCTACGCTCAAGGCAGCTCAGTTCGGTTTCACGATGAAATGGAACCTACGAAATTAACAGTAATGAATTCCCGACTGACCGAGTTGAACGAGCAAATTCTGTGACCGGATTGAAAAAAAGTTATGATGGGCAGATGGTAACAAAGACGTTCACTAACTCGGCACAAAGTGGAAGGAAAGCAAAAGCGATTGATACAACAACGTGAATGGTCGATGCAGATCAACAAGCTCCTTAATCTTTCATGGCAGTTTAAACATTTGTAATCGGGAAATTGACGAGGAATCATTAAGCCAGTACCCTGTGAATATACGTCTGCGTGTCTGGATGTGAGTTAGCCGTGTGAGTGAGTCGTGAGTCCAGTGAGTAGGATAAACTAGATTCCGACACAGGGTGTCAGTCTTGGCGATGAAGCTGATAAGCCCAGGCAGCCAGCACCATCGGCAAACCGGTGTCTTAAGCAACCTGCTAATCAACGGTTATCCCCAAGTAGAAAAGAAACCAAGTAACAAACCTTTTCGCCCTTCCTGCGCTGGATGTCATCGCCGGTAAGGTCGGAGGAGCAGCGTCGCGGGAAACCCACGATTGTCGGCTGATGCGGCATCGCGCGATCACCGGCCTGGACGATTTCACGTCACGAGAAAAACGGAAAAACACAAAAAAATACGCTAGAGAGCAAAACAGGGATTAACAAGGCGAGAAGACATTGCCGTAGCCGCCTGACTGCTACGACATGGTACGCGCGAAAAAGTTGTTCTAGTCAAAAGATGGCAGGATTAATTAGTTCACTTTTTGGCAGTGTTGAAGGCCAGACATGTTCCCCCTTTTCAGGGGCGAATCAAGACCCTTTATTGATCCACTAGAGCGGGCACGCTTCTTATTGGATGGGTCATGTGTATCAATTTTTTTCAGTTTGTTTAAAAACGACTTGACATTTTCTGTAACTTCCTACAGTCTGATTGTGTTTCAGGAACTGCAGCAAAAATGTCGCATTTACACAAAGATAATTTTCTCACCAAAATCTGAGGGATGTAGCGCGTGTCCTTTTGTATCATTTTGCGTTTCTGCCATTCACGAAACCAATTCTGGATGAGGAAGGTCGCGTAAAACTTGCCCACTGTTACAACGTCGAGTTCTGAAAGGAAAGAGAAAACAAGGATGACGTAGTCTAAAATTATTGGTCGACTCTTGAACCTACTTCCGTCGCTTTGCTACAGAGGCGGAAATCTAATCGACATTTCAAGAACAGAGCTCTCCACCAATGCGGACTCGGTAGCTGCCCTTTAAAGCACCCACTAACCTTTAGGAGGAAGAATCTGATCCAGGAGTTTTGGACTCGTTCGTTTCCAAATCTTCTTGATGACACCTCGAAGCTCCTCGTTGAGTTGATCCAACGACTTCTCTTTCTCGTCATCTATAGGAAAATCAAAATCCATCATCAGTCTTTTCTTTTAACTCACTCCCAAGGTTATTCATTCCTCCTAGGTTACAAAACGCATGATAACAATGTTGAACTTTTTATAAGTCAGCAGAATCCCATTTTAAAGCAAGGTACAAAGCTGGTTTCTTCAAAACAGTTGCTTTATTAGCTAGTCTGTTGACCCTAATGGCAGGTTATGGTAGAATGAGAACGACACACAAGGGCGCGACGTTTTGTCCAATCAGCGCAGGTGTGTGCGACAAGCTGTCCAATCACGATTGGGGTCCCCGAAACACCGGACTTGCACGTTTCCTCTTCGACCTTTACTGGGAGACACGTCGGTGGGCACGCCTTCATTCTTAATTGCACACTTACACGCTTCTTTTCACTAATTATGACAACTAATCGATTTTTCCTGAGTCAATTGGAGTGTGCTGTGTGCACGGGCACGAATACGTACCAGTCTTCAATGTGAGTTCCGGAGCAATATGTACGGACAATAGCATATTGGATAGGGGGAAGTTAAAAGAAATAAGTGGTAGTTACAGCTTACTTTCTTAACACAAGATTGCAATAACGTGTAATCGACATGTGCGCAATTTCGCCGCTGTCATTTAGGTAGAGATTATCCTGACGATAGAGGTTACGACTGACACGCTTGTTTCCTCTCCCTACAACTGCAGTGACTGTCTTCTTGGATGTGATTCTTCTGTAATCCTCACGAAAATTAGCAGGCAACCCTTTCCACCGATCACAAACCCCAGTTCTATGTGTTTTTTAGACAAGAGTATTGACAAATTAATTGCCCCAACAGATCTGTATTCGACGTTGTCTTTCAGTTATTGCAATTTTGCTGAATAGTCCGCATCTTGAGTTCCAGTGTTTAAACATGACACAAAAACCTATCTACTGACTCCTTAAACGAGAAATTTTCTACTGGAAAAACTTCGGCCACGACTCCAACTTTTGAAGCTCCAGTTTCCAGCCGACTACACTATGCGGGGTCTCTATTTGTCTACGAGACAATGCCATTGATCTGCTGTCGCATACAACAGTTCCATGAAGTTGTGAAATGGTGTGAAGAACACTTTTACTTGTACATTATATATTCGTTCGGGATCAAGCAATTGACTCTTGTCATAAAGAACCCACTTTTGCAATAAATCCAACTTTTCAGCAAAAATCGAGTTCCAGTTAACAGTTCACTTCATCGAAATTTAAGTTTTTCGTTCCTCAGCATCGAACAAGTTCCAGAATCGGTGCCTACATTTCCGCCTCCTCTTGGTTTAACCAATCACAAAATAATACGGAGTGGGTTTGCATGTTACTGGCTTAAAATGTGTGCCTTGTGTGGAGAGGGTTAGCCGTACCTTCTGGCACCTTAATACGCAGATTCCGACGAACCAACGCGAAGAGGGTGGCGTTGAAGAAGACGGTTCCATCGCTTTGCAAAGGCATGTTCATTTGCACCAATTTCTACGAAACAAGGGACACCAAATCAAATTCTCATTAATGTTGCAAGTTTACGAACTTACAAGGTTGGAGTTAACGCTTAATCTAAGTTAAAGATTGTACTATTTTTGGGGAATTTACGGTTCTAAGTCAGAAACTGGCCTGTGCATTGCTAAAGTGCCTCGTGTGGAAACACCGCGTCTTGCTTAACCGCGCCTAGCTGGGGAAAAGTCATGGATAAATAATCACAAATTCTGCTTTTAACGCAGCCCAGCGCACTGAAAATGAGGCACGTGGGTGGCTTTCGGCTCTATCACTAGGCGTGATCTTCGGTCCCACAGTAGCAGTGAGTTGGGTGAATTAAAACAAACAAACTATTCTCGAAAGTTTTAAAATTCGGCAGAATTAATCGTCAGAGCCAAATTAGGCGCAAACGAAGGAGACTGGCCTGAAATGAGCAGTTGATGGCGAATTCGATGGTATATGGAACCAAATGAGCAGTAAACAGCTAAAGGGTGAAACACTTAGTCACATTAAACATGAAGACATTGCTTTTGTTAACTTTTTGTTGAGTTATGAGGCAAAATCTTCCCATAGTTGAGCGATATCTGCTAGGCAAGTTTATTATATTTCTAATTAAGGAAAAGTACTACCCTCAAACAACAATGAATAATAATCTTTTGACGCAATTCAAGTTGACAGAAAACCCAAACGGAATATATAGCGAGAAAAGCTAGAGTTCGTGCAGTGCTTGGACAACATAACATTTCATTTTGGAATAGCATTGCCTCTGTGAAAAACGATAATGTTTAGCGATTAAGAAGTGATTCTGCATACTTTGTATTTGTCTAGTAAGCAAATTAGTTGCATTCATGGAGGTATGACAGACGAATGTCGGTTAGCAGGGTTTGCCTGCAACTAGGAATTCACCGAGATGGTCGTGTCGGAAGAAGCGACTTCACTCGAACTGGGAGTCACTATATCTTGTCATCTAATCTTCACCTACGGCCTAGTCTCGCGTGACAAGGTTGCAGCTCACGCAAATACTCCTTCCACTAGCAACGGTCGTTTATCTAATTAACGAAAATCTGTGAAACAGGCTTCTTTAGCTGAGGCCGGTTTCAACTGCAATAATCAGCAAGCCGGCAATCTAAGGGGATACGAGGTCCGCGCTTGATTGGTGTCGCGGCAGTCGTAAAAGACCGTTTTACCAAACCGCGAACAAGTGAGGTAGCTGTGCTGCTCTGGAATAACGAATTTGACCAAACGACGCAGCGTAGTTGAGCGCAAAACTTACTAAACGGATTCGTGTGGGCTGATGTGAGCAGTCAATTCTGATTGGTCATTTTGTGTAAAGACTTCATAGTATAAAAAATCACCATTAGAAAGTGTGCTTAAAGTTAATTTTGACGGCGTAACTTAAAAGGAGAACAAAAACAGACGTGAATGAGGTCATCTGATACCTGAATTTGTTCGTGGTACTCGACATTGACATCCTGTTACTCAAACAAGGCAGATGTTTTACATTTCTGGAGTCAGGTTACAAACTCGCATCAAATAATGCTAGTCGTGGCCACTGAGGTCCATCGCAAAGATAATTACACTTCCTGTTTTGGACGCAAGTGGTATTTTTTTATTGACACGTTAATTTAGCGACCTCTTTTGACTGACATCCCAAAGTCAGTGGACTGATTTGCATTTTCCGTGCGTCCTGATTGACAGAAAGAGAAGCTTTATCAGAATTTACATCTCTTAAAGCCCCTTTCGCCAGACCAACTGTTATGCTCTTTGAAAAAAAGGCCTCGTTATTGTGTTGGACTAAGTAAAGTCACGAGGCGAAGGTAAAAAAGGGCAATTTCAAGGTAATAAAAAGTTAACTAGGTGCACCAAGAGAATTGAAAAGAAGACAATGAGAGTTGACTGCCTCCTCTGTGCACCTGAGACATAAGCATCGCCTGATAGCGAATCATGTGATCACAATTCTACACTTTAGGACAATACTCCTGGCAACTGGCCTTAAAAACTTATTAATAGCCAATCAGAAAGGTGCTTTTACGGATAAATTAGGACTGATGAATCGTGTCATAATCACTCTACCTCTTACACTCACCCTGCCCCTTGAAACAACAACAATTATTATCTTCTGGATAAAAAAAAATCTACTCTTTCACTCCGTTATTTTCCCCGCAACACTAAACACTGCTGGTCAGGGATGTGTGTGTGAGTTTTCATGCGCGATAAAGCATAACTTGGTGCATTTGCTTCTGACTTAATCTGCCTCCCTCTCCCCAATACACGTCCACGGTTTCTGCACACAAATCCAACAAGGTTTTTTTCTCATGTTTAGTACAAAAGTTACATTCAGTTTACACCGCACAATTTGCCTGTTTCTGTCGTTTGCATGTAGTGACTCATCGCTGCGGTACTTAAACACATAAGTAGTGCTGAGCGTTTTCCACAAAGAGGTAACGACGACGTGTCTACTGCGCACTACACAATTGTTAGACAGCCGAATCCTACAAAGAGAATGACGTTAATATATGGCGCGTCCAGTTAATGCGCTTGATAATTCATAAAACTAGACCTCGGCGTGGCATCTTAGCTGGTTCGGAGCATTAGAAACCGCTACTTGGTATTTAAAGTGCTATTATTTAACTTTCTTGCACCGATATTGATTAATTAGGGGGCTCAGTTGTTCTTGCCACGTTGTTCACCCAATCAAATACCAGTACTCACCCCCCAGGTGTCAAACGAAGGTCACACGGAGTCCATCAGGTAAAACGTCTTGGCTAATCGACCACGCATAGCATCAAAACATCAATTTTCTGTCGACAACAATAACTAGGGATCGTTTCTTTCACGTACCTGTGTGTTGATGCTCATCGCGTTTCAAGTGTGACCGTCAACTACGCTAAGGCAACTGATTTACCGTAAATTAGCTTGATAATGGGGTTTGTACTGCTAATATTTCTGAAGCATATCATTGGCGTGTTCGTGACTCATCTACGATTTTTCAAAATCATATTAGCCGATAATGCGGTAATCTTGAACCCTTGATCCTATCAAATATGCTAAGTTATGAAATGTAGCTGCGTTCAGATCAATTCAAGAGATTAGTTTGATTTTGACAGGTTCCTTTTCAAGAAGTCATTTGTTTGAATAAAATTAAATTGCGATGCCGGTCGATACAATTTGTTGTATGCTGACAAAATAACAAAAACAACTTGAGGCAGACGTCAACTTGAAATTAGTTTAATTTGAAAATTTTATTCACTTCCATGAAGTTTTCTTTAAAATTGCCTTTAAACCATGAGACCTGCATAAATTAGCGCACGACCATCTTCGTCGTTCCAGGAGATTCCACAATACGCTCACGAAAACCATAGAACACACACAGCTTAATCCTGATTGGTTAATGCCACAATGGCTCCTTACCTGGCGTTTCAGCCAATAGAAATGTGATTTCAGGTAAGTTGGCACGCTACTCAAAATCAGGAAGAAACCAACGCGAACTCACGTGGCAGGCTCGAGTGTGCGGGCACATGCTTCCGAAGCCCAACGGTGGACTGATCTTCCCCAACATCGTAACCACGTCCAAATGCCTCACGCGCCCTCTTGGTTACCATGATGATGAGTAAAATAAACAACATGTTATGCAGTAAAAGTGGGGGAGGGGGAGGAACAGCAAAACGAACGATCACGACGTGGTACGTGATTTTGATGCCTCAACTAGCATGCCAAAATCTAGCTTAGTTAGTTTGCTTTTTGTGGAGCTCTGTGAAACTGGCACTTGGGCTGATTACACCGTTGGATTCTTTAACAACCGTTTTGGGGAAAACTAAACAAGGAATTCAGGGGACGGTAGTCGAGTGCATTTGGTTTCCGCAATGTCAAACGAAGCGTGTGACTGCCGTACACAGAATATGCTCCTATTTTTTTCGCTGACTTGTTCAAAGCCCCTATTGATACGTGGAGTTTCCGAGTTAAATTTATTATGACGATTACGTTTCTCGTCCCAGAAGTGGACTTTCTCGTGTAGAGAAATAGAAGACTCAGGGGTGACGTGCTTACTAGAGAGACACAAAGATAAATGTGCAATGCGTGAACGGTAAGCCACGACCGGAAACTGGGGTGCACGTACTGTCCACCAGCAATTTCACATAGTACAAAAAACAGCATCATCATCACAATTCGCGGACTCGCACGTTTTCAAAGAAATATGACTGTTCGAATCTAAGCGCTTCTGATGCTGGTTAATTCCAACTGCCACAGAAAACGAGCGAGTGTTTTAGTAGGCTAGGAATACGGCCAATCCGTTCTACGGCTGCTTTCCCGTCAGCCAATCAATAGGAGGTGTAAAGACCTACTTGGCTTCGGGGTCGTATTCGGCCCAACGAGTCACAAACTCGTCCAGATGATGGGGCCCGAGAATTGACCAATCGCGTGTGAGGTAATCGAAGTTGTCCATTATGACAGCCAAGAAGAGATTGATGATCTTGAAAACGAGGAATTAAAGGTAAGGCAAAGCGATTTGTGTGTAGACAACGATTCTGAAATTATCAAGAACCCACCACAAAGGAGCAGAAGAGGTAGAACGTGATGAAGTAGGGGTAGGCGAGGTTCGAACCGCAGTTCATGCCTTCACTGCCGTCCTCTGAATCGACCGCACATTTTCTGCCTACAATTGATGCAGTAACCGCGTGAGTTCGACGACTCCCAACCCTATACGTTTTCTCCAATGAGCTGCAAATTGTCGAGTGCGGTAAAAACGCCAACTTGAGCAACGAGGGTGCAATTAGGAGCTCATTGATACGATCTCGAACGCCATTTCGCATGACAAAGACGCTGACAACGCAAACCGGGCTGCCAGGCACACGAAAGTCGGTCTGAATTTGGCGCTGGAGATGTAGTGGCTCTCGGACGGAAGAGCACGATCCGTGGGGGGCTGTTTTGTGCGCTAGTTTTGCCGCACCGATAATCAGATTACGTGTCCCACTAAATTGGCCTACACCGTTTTGTTTGAACCTAAAAGGCGTGTCCCGCAGGGCAGGAGTTGCCGAACAATTTGCCAGGGAAAGCAAAGCGTTGTTTAGGCAACCCTCCGCTGAGGCCTTATCTCACATCTCACTGCCCTTCTCGCTCATTTTGCCTGCACAGTCTACACAAATACGAGCAGTCCACAGAAACACAATTCGACCAATCGCAGGTAGTCTGAGCGTTTCCGGATATTAACCCAAGTCGGACTGTTTTGAGTTAAACTGTAAGATGGATTCGCTGATGCAGGCTTAAAAACTTGGTAGTTGTCATAGAGGAACCTACGAATCAAGAACGACACTCGTGAGGATAATCACAACAAAAGTGATCGGCTAAAAATTTACCCTACTGTTAAGCCGTAGCACTGTACAAGAATACTTCCAGAGGTGGATTTTCGTTACCGGATATCCAAAGGCGCGCTATTATCTATTACCGAAACTAGTTGTAAATATTTAGTTACTTATTATTATCAACACGCGTCCACGATTTACGTGACTCACAGAAAACTGTACCAGCGTTATCATGAATTAATCTCAACGTTCTTTCACAATGCCTGCACGATAACTTCAAAAAACGGCAAAACTTCTTCAGTATTTGTACGTTTTGGGCTTGAATCAGGCCTCAAAAAAGAGCTTGTGCCATTTCGTTCCTTCGTTCATGTTTTTGTTTGACTAAATTCGCATTAATCTTGTTGTAAATACAACAAAATTGAGATTTATCGTGTGTCAATTGTTCGAATCAGGTTAAAACGTTTGCCGTTAACTCTTATTTACGAAAAAATCACTTTGTTTTGAGAATTAGATAGAATTTTAGAAGTGAGCCATTTTTTTGTGAAACCGCTAATGAATACGCGGGTTAGTTTAATAAATTAGTTGAAAATCTCCGCTCCCATTGGTCGAGCTCGGGTTTATAAATAACGTCTTAGCCCGTAGGCAAATAAAATCGATTAACGAATAATTTGCATCCAAAGCATTCGGAATTTTACAGAAAACGCGCACATGCACACACAGGGGTTGTTCAGCGATCCGTGCTCCGAAAAAACGTTGTTCCTTACCTGGGGTACATGCAAGCATTATCTCCTGCCACGACTCGCCAGTTGCAGACCTAGAAAAAGTTGGGTGGGAGCGAGGTTAAAAAGTGTCGAGTGCGGAACACGTTTCAACGTGTTTCAGCAAAGCCCATTTGTCCGTGGCCAGAGGCAGATCAAATAACACCTCGCGCCACGAACCGAAGAACTCTCAAAAACACTGGAATTTGGCTGTGGGTTTGGGGGTGAAGTTAAACGCTGTAAAATAATGGCCGACACCACATCCTTTTCATGGTCAAAACCAAATAAAGGGCAGCAATTCCACATGTTATTGATTCGTGGGACGTAATACTCAAAATTACTCAATAAATCGAGGATGGTTCTTAATGAATTTCAGATCATAATTTTGGCAAAATTCGTTCATTTGCTTCGCTCGAACAACCGATATTTAAACTGGAATTTCATCTTCATTCGACCTTGAGCATGCCCTTAAACTGAGCTCTGGATTAAATTTACTATGCACGAATATCGGGCCAGGTTTAAAATATTTGTAGGTTTGTGTGTGCCTTCGAAGGAGGGTGAACACACCTGAAGAGAACAAGGAGAGCGAAGAAGAAGCTTCGAAAGTTGTTACTTCGGTGAATAACACCGTCTTCCCCGGGTTCGAGTCCCGGCTGGTACAAGCTTATCTTTCCGAAGAGTTGCATACCGATGACGGCGTAGATAAAAAACAGCATCGCAATCAACAAGGCGACGTACGGCAGTGCCTACAATTGGAAGCGACAATCAAACCCTTGAATTTGTCACATTTAACGCAAGCTCTTATCAGTGTCTGTTTTGTTTGAACTAATCAAAAAAACAGACTGTCTTTTTAAATTGCCTGAACGTCAAATAGAAAGCAAGCATCGCGAATTCTTGAATTCTGGAAGGTAGACCTTTGTTGTAAAGATTATTTTATGTGTTTTGGATGCAGCCGTCCTAATTAATGCCTGTGGTTTTGGATTTTGACAATAAGACACAAATTACTCGTTCACTTGAAAGTAATATCCTTTATTAATTCGTACATTTAAGACATTATTTTGGAGAAGACATGAAGCAGGATTAAGACTGCGTACCTGGAAGGACTTTATGAAGGTCCAAAGGAGTTTGCGAATGGACTCCTCTTTGCTCAACAGCTTGACCAATCGCATCACACGGAACAGTCGGAAGAAATTGATATTAAACTTCAGCGTCGTCTCGGAACTAGCCTGTAGGAAACAGCAGCAACAACAACAACTCAAAATTTGACATCCACTGTCAACCCATCGGATGATTGACGCAAGCATGGAGCAAGCTGTTTGGGAGAAAAATTTTCTCGCTCCAAAGCAAGCCAACGCACTGACAAATGTCTACGTGGAGAAGGCTGGATCTTGAATCATCGTCACTCCTGCTAAATTAACGCATCTTGATTCAAGTTCAGAAAACGCGCCAAGAAAATATTCTATGAAACTCGTACTTTTCTCATTGTTTCTGAATCAAAGTCACCTTAGATGCGGAAAACGCAATTATACTAGGTGTGTGACTGTATTTTTAACAGGAGAAACAATTTCAAGATTTTTGTGGTTCCGAAAGGACCGGATGCAAGGTTGCAAAGTACCGAACGCCACGCCAACATGGGATTCATAACCCCTCGGAATAGCAGTTTGCGATGACACCTGATAAGCAGCACATTCGATGTTACTGCATTTAATTCGAAGTCCAATTAGGAAAAAGCTTATTTTAAGGAACAAAGATCAATTTGTACTGCTATTAATGCTGATTATGTGTCCTGTAAAAGGGGATATTTAATGACAGAAACCTCGAAAGTTTGAAGACTCAAAGCAAACGCAATAAGAACTTGCAGGTCAGTTAGGAGTCACCCAAACAGCTTTTTCAAAGCGTTGGAACAATTTAAGGGGAAAATTTTACAAGCTCGAAAGTTGAGTGGAACACAGCACAGGTCAACGCATGGATGTATGCCTTTCACTGCATGTCCACCGGCAAAAAACACCTTCTTGTAGAAAATTTTGACGGGTTATGAAAAATATGGTTTTTAAGAAAACCCCAGGCGACCCAGTACATCGACATTGAAACAGTACATCCACTTGAAGAGGACTTTCTTGTGTATCAGGTGAGACACGGAGGGGGTTCTTTATTACGAACACCTGCAAATTGGTCAGATGGCGGCTGTGGAAGGCTACAGCTGACAATTGAGCAAACTGAGTGAAGAACTTGTGAGGAAAGGGCGTTTACTGGGCAGGGAAGCAGGCAACTCGTACTGATGCAATACAAGGCTCGACCCCTGGTTGCTTGCGCGATTCAAAAGACCCTCATGAAATTGGGATGGGAAGTGCTCCAGACTTGATCCTACGCGACTACCATTTGTCCGGTCAGTGTAGCAGCACGTTTTGGTGGATAAGCATGTTGTGGGCCCCAGCATGTGGTCTTGAACCACGCCGGGCCCACGGAATTAACCCTGGCCCGATTACGCTTGCCTAATACCCACGATGAAGAAAAAGATCGGAGAGGACGTGGACATGACCGTTTACTTCAGAGCTCAAACACGTTGATGTCGTCGTGCCGTGTGTGAGGTTCGCACGTGTGTATTTATACCTCGGATGTGTGAGTCATACATGCGCTAACATCGAGACCCATGTGTGAGGATACTCCAAGAGACATATTCCTGCTAATGAAGGGGGAGTTGAGGATCCGCCTGGCTGGCGACATGCTGCGAAAAGGGGAACCCTGTGTAGGAGGTGGAGCGACTGGATTAAGGGGTGTGAATAGACACGATTCACAACAAGCAGTTCAAAACACTGGACGGTCTACGTAACTTCGTCGGTATTCGTAAATTACCTGAGAGATGGCGCAAGGCCATGAATACGAAGAGCAGTACTTGCAAGATTAACTTCGCTGGGCTTTACTCTTTAATTTTGAATCCATTTGGTGAAAATTCCACTAAAATTTAGGTCATACACTTAATCTTTTAACACGCGGTGTTTAAACAGCAACCTGGGTAGATGTTTTGGCTACATTCGACGTGGAAAACCGCCAGTGCTTCTGAAACGACGCCAAAATTAAAAAGGGCCTTGTTTTAAGTAATAACCACCACCGCCAAAAGCTGGGTTTCTGGTGATTTAATTCCTGGACTGGTGAAAAATGCTGTTCAAAGGGAAGAGGTGGGAACCAGAGACTTGCAAAAAGCACTCACACCGTCTGTTCAGCAGCGGTGACAGCCAAAATCCCACCACCACCGCCGCCGCCACCGCTGCTGCTGCTGCCACAACAGCGTGAGATCAAAGCCTACGCAAACGCGGTGTGCCAAGTCAGGTCACAACACACTAATGACAACCCGGCCGCGCAAATTGACGCGTTTTTATTTCCACTTAGGATTACAGATCAAACGGACAGGGATGGCGCGAAGCCGTTTACCTGATTCGTGCGTGATGATTGGGCGACGCAGAATAGAGTGTCTTTATGTCTCCATGATGTGGATGAGAAAACCAAAAGTGAGATCCCGCAAGGAAAACAGTTGTCATAATTTAACCTCACATCGACCTTGAGCAAGCCAATGACTGCTCGTGATTTCAAAATGACCGCCCTGATTGTGAGCATTTCAAACAAAATTAGTCTTGCATATTTGAATTTTAATCACGCTTATTCTGCACAAATCCGGAGGCAATCGAGGCCACGTGGATTCAGAAGAAACGCAAGTTTAAAGTGAGCCATTGAGATGGGCGTTTTTCTCTTTTGGCCGGCAAAGTTGGCTGTCATTATGGTGCTGGTCGCACTCTGCGTGCTGAGTGGGATGATAATTACGAAGGCGAATAAAAAGACAAGGAGGGAAAGGCGGAACCACACTGCGACACCCCCGCCGTCCCCGGGGCAGCGGGAAACTTCAAAGATTGAGCGCTCAGGTTAAAAGACATGAAAGCACAAACGGTTTGCGCGGGGATCCGTTTCAAAGCAACCCCTGAATCCGCTTTTTTAAGTCTCTCTACCTCTCGCTACCTCCCTTTGCCACTGCGACGTGACTCAGGAGGGTTGCGCGGAAGCCCGCGAATTCGTGACATAGGGGTAGTTAGGAATCTTGACGTCGAATTCATCTCATTTTCCTCAACAGTAATTGGTTATTCCATTAGTTTCTACCGTCTCTTGGCGACAACCAACAGCCTTTTCAAAAAAACATCTTCTAAAACACTACAGAAAGGTTCGCCGATGCTGTCGCCTAAGCGAGAGAAGAAACGAGTCGTGATAATTTACTGACATCTACTCTGTCGCCACATTTTCAGACGTCCCTTTTTCAATCTTCTCAGCATCTCCACCGTTCTCGAGGGATACGAATTTTCTAGATTAATTCCGCTGTCACTCTGACCACCCGTCTAATTTAGATAATTCAACCGACAGAAATCGGTAGACAGCCTCCGACAAGACGTATACAGCAGGGGTGGGTCATCAAATGAATGTTTGTGTCCTTGTCGAAGAACTAATATCCGCAGCAAAGTCTCCTGCTGTCGAAAAGGAGTACTTCAAATGTTGGCATCATGGTGAAGACGGTTGGAAGGCCGAAGCGATGCGAACTTCAGGAACTCACAAAGTAGCCATGATTGATGCTCGGAGGCAGGATGAATGACATTGCATGTTGAGTTACGCAATAGTGCTAACATGGACTACCCGGTTCCGATGGTGATTGGCTAAAACCAACCAATCGAATTGCTGACCTTACGGGGAAATCGGACACGAGAGAGAGTAAGCCGAACAAGAGAAAAAATGTCTTTTTTTAAATAAAAACCTACCTTGCTAACAATGATGTCGATGTAGCTGCCCAAAACGATGATGAAATCGATCACATTCCAGGGGTCTCCGAAGTAGTGCTACAAAATTTACGAAAACCATTAGCCACTTTTCTACCAAAACCTATGATTTGATGGTGAGCATGCTTATTCGTGTGAATATGAGGTCAAAGATCGTAATCGTAACCTTGACAGATGACTATATCTGACCTTGAAAAACAGCCTGGGTGACCAATAAGGAACAGAAGTTTAACTATTCCCCGGATTAATCGATAAACCAGCTTAAGGCTGCAATTTACGTGCCGATTTCCGTTTGTTTAAGTTACCAGCCGAATTTCTGACACCGCCAATCGCGTACGGACAGGCAAGCCAGACGCACCAATCAGCTGCAAGCACACCTGGTGTTCTTGCACCCCATTTACACGACATTCCTACGAACTCACTCCCCCTCCCTAGCGTCTGTGAGAAATGTGAATGGGTTGCAGCAACACAGTCTGGGAGTCAGAATCGTTAAAAAACACGAATGATCTCGTCTAACACCGTTCTACGTGTTTTTGATGCCGCGTAGCAAGAACAGCTGCTGTCGAGCTTCGTGTAGACACGCCCCAAACACAACATGACGGCCCTGATAGTAACTCCCACGTCCAGAAATTATTTCAACTGCACAGTAATCGACAGCACCACGGATGTGTTACACAAGCAGCAGGATTACCGAAAAAATTTGCGACACCAACGTCCGGGCGGTGGACCAATCAGAACGCGAGTTTCGATTTTGCCGCCAATTTCAAGAATTCGAAAGGTTTTGCACAAATTAGGCAGAGATGCCGGGCATTTCGCACGAAATCGCCAAAATGTGCACAATTTTCTTAAGCTCTTTACACGCACAACTAGATTTTGAGGCAGATGTCACGAGAACGCACCCGGAAGCTGAAGGCAGAGAGCTTGAGAATGAATTCCACCGTGAATACCGCTGTGAAGAAGTAGTTGAAGTTGTCGAGGACGCTGCTGAACGTCGGGTCCATTTTGTCGTGCTGAATAGACATCACAAGCTCAAAATCAGTAATCAGTCAAAATATGAAAGAATTCATCTTAAATTTTACAAAACTGTCGGCTCAAAACAAAGATAATTTGTTTGCAGTATAAGTAGACGGAAAATTGAAAGCTCAGAGAGGCACAAGAATACCTGAGAGAAGCAATAATAAGTCAGAAACGCACCTTGCAAGCCAACGTCACGGTGTTTAGGAAGATGAAGGTGAAAATGAGGATCTCTAGCTTGCGAGACACGACCATAGACCAAATCTTGTACTGGAGATGGCCTTTGGGAATGTACCGCCGTCGTGGCCGCGCCTTGAGTGCGTACTCGATGCACTTTCGCTGAAAATTTGGAAACAGGAAATTGGACGAAGTACGTTTTACTTGTAAATAATAAGTACACAGTTTATGCTGACCTGGTTTTTGTTCAGCTCGCAGTTTTTGTACTCGCGTTCGCCTTCGCGCTGGAAGGTGACGATGACGAAACCCACGAAGATATTCACCATAAAGAAGGAGGCGACGATGAGATAGCTGATGAAGTAGAGCGCGATGTACTTTCGGTGGTCGTGAAGCGGTCCCATGTCCTCTTCGTTCGAGTCGATACCGGCGTAGAGGATTCTAGAAAGTGAGCTCAATTTGTGGCAATGAGAGGGAGACGGGTAGCAAGGAAGGCATTCTTCAAAAGCTGCTTCCAAACTTACGGCGGCCAGCCTTCAAAAGTGAGAACGACAAAGAGGGTCAGCATCGCGTTGGCGACATTGTCGAAGTTCAGTTCGGAGTGCGTCCACACGCGTTCAACAACGTTTGCCGGTCGGCCGTGCTCATATTCAATAAAGAACCCCCTGGTTGAAATGAGAGGAAAAACCGATATTTTGTGGAAATTGCGGGGTGGAGGGGGAGAGCCTGACAGAAAAATCGCCAACTCACTTGCAATCCTGTTCGGTGAGTTTGGAGGGATCGTTGCACGAGACGTACTTGCCCTTGAAGAGCTGCACGCCGATCACAGCGAAGACAAATTCGATGAGAATTGTGACGAGCATGATGTTGCCGATGCTTTTCAGCGCTGTGACCACGCACTGGACAACGTTCTGAAGCAGAAAGCACGTGTTATGCAACAATTACCCCGCCAATGCAACCTTGACGTTTGTTATCGCGCCATCCTCTGACACAAGCGTCCCCTGTCGCCAGCCGCGCGTATCCTCAACTCCCACCTCATTCGCACTAATATTTATCGTGGAATATCCGCACACCTAGGTCTCGATGTCAGCGCATCTATGGCTCACGCATCTGAGGTATAAATACACACGCGCACACCCCACACAACGACACCAACTTGGTTGAGCTCTGAATTAAACGGTCGTGTCCACGTCCTCTCCGGTCTTCCTTTTCTTCATCGCGGGTGTCAGGGGAACGTAATCGGGCCAGGGTTAATTCCGTGGTCCCGGCGTGGTTCAAGACCACATCCTGAGGCCCAAAACTCTCAGCGAAAACTACTTGAAGATTATTGGCACCGGTAACCCACCCTAGCCTTTCATTGGTTATCTATACATACGCCCACGCACACACCCTTCAAGGTCACGCATCGTGACGTAGACGTCAACTGACATTGGAGTTGTACTGAGGGTTACTCGTTGCTGCGAAACTACGTCTTGAAACTACGTCCTGTTGTCTGAACGGTGCACAAATTTAACGCAGAACAGAGGGAAATTCTTGTCCATCTTGATGATATAAGGCAATTCACATTTCGAGCCATCCATTTTATCAAAACTGTGTTAAACTTGTGATTAACGTAAGTCAATTTCATGTACAAAAACCATTAAATTTGGTGTGAATTTCAAGGTTGGGAGTCCATGCTTGAACTCTAATCCGGGTTAGATTGGAACTTCATCAACGCCCGTTTTGGATGACAAATTACAGATCCCGTGCTATTTAAGGCGGCTATTCAATTAGATCATGCACACCATCAGTAAGCCCATTGGTTACGGGTCATCCCTAATTCCATTGGTTACGCAACTAGCCAATCAGCTTTCAAGCATGACAATTTTAGAGACCGTAGCTGCGAATATCGATTGCTTCTTTCAAGTAAAAAAAAAGATGTTCTTTTGTGAAGTGCTCTCAGATGTGCTACTCAGAATCCGGTCCGTGGGGCGATAGATGACCAAAGCCCCTAAAACGGTGTTGCCATTGGCTGTCAGTGAGCGTCATAATCGATTTGTGTAGATTTACACAAATGAATTTCCACAAACCTTCAGGCCTTTGGCTCGGTTAATGGCGCGAAGAGGTCGGAGGACACGCAGCACGCGAAGAATTTTGACGGCCGATATCGCTTCATTCCTTGAGGCAAGGTGGAAACAAAAAAGTCAGTTATTCAAACAAATCAAAAGGCACCTTTTTAAAATAAATTATTGAAAAATCTGCCAGTGTGAAGAAAGTGTCTCCCGAATGACCGATCTAATCGATTGTCATTTTGAAGGTGTAGCAACACTGCATTAGAAAAGTCGCGACCAATCATTGGACAACTGGTTTTAGATCGTCCACTGATACTTTTTCTGCCCCTTCAAGAGATAGTCGTGCTGAATAGCATCAGGGAAATTCTTAAAAATGTCCTGATCGATGGTGTTTGTAGATAGTCTGGCATGAGTGCGAACTTACTCGAGAACAAAGGAGATGAGAGCCACAAACACGACGATCAAGTCGAGCAGGTTGAACATGCCGCGCAAGAAAGCGCCTTCGTGCAGAATGAAGCCGTAGGCGATCATCTAATTGAAGTGGATAAAAGCACAGCTAGCACGAAGTTCTATAATTGGCTGGTTTTTACTCGATTTCGATTGGTTGACAGCCGCCATCACTTATGTGCGCATTTGTGACTCACAAGCAGGCGCGATGCTGCATGCACACGTCACAACAGAGGTGGCCAGCTTGATCCCCCCTCAAAAAGTGAGTTCGATACCCCTGTTGGGGGTGCAATGGTATCTCACGCACATCACTGACCAATCATCTTATCGCTTTGATCTCTGACAACATTTCTATTGGTTGGCAGCCTCCATCACTCATGCACGCGTTCCTATGAGCAAGGTTGAGCCATCTGATCTGATCTGGTTGTAGTGGACAGACAGCCACCTCGCATGAGTGATGCTTGTACCATGCCCCGAGTGTTCCAATGACTCACCCCTTCAGTTATTGGTCCGTTAGCATTCGCCTGTTACGCACGCTTACACACACGTACACAAAGGCACCAATAAACGGTCGCCTCTTGTTCCACTCTTCTCGGGTTGTTACGGCCTGTTAACTAGAGGGTTGTAAGGTAGGGCTAAAACTCTAACTATTACATGGTGTTGTTCAAATCAAGAGGTCAGATCTATCTCAGCAAAACTAAATATTGATAAACTGAAAGCGTGAAGTGAAAAGTTATCGCGAAAAGTTTTTGTGCAAATCTGGAGCACTAGGAGGCGACGCCTTTGGTAATGAAGAGAATTACACTTAAAAGAATGCGTTTATGAAGGCGATTGCTGCCTTAATCTTGTGAAACTACGGGCTACTTAGTTGTGGCCAAGTAAACTACTCGTCACAGCCTCTGATTCGTTGATTAAAATAATGCGGGCTCCTTGTTTAAATCGATATGGGCGCGTAGTTGAAAGTGGTGTCAATAGTCTGCAACAGCCACAACACTGGAGGTTCATACCTTGAGTGTGATTTCGATCGTAAACACACTTGTGAAGAAGTAGTCGAAGTAGTTGAGGATCTGAAACGATCAAAACAGATCATCAAGTCCCTCAATTTGGCCTTATCACTGTTATCTTAACGCTCAGTACTCCTACAAAGCGGAGACTTGAAATACGAGCGTATGAGAAATCAGGTTAAAACGGACTGCCTTGAACGCACCCTATTGGTCAACGAGTAGGTGTTCAGGGGATCTTCAGCACAGAGGAGCGCCGAACTGATGAGGATGCAGCCAAGAACGAGATTGTTGAAGATTGGCGAGGAAACAATGTTGTGGCAAAAGATTCTGAACCTATAGCGTAACAAAATTTGAAAAAAATTGTTACTTCCTGTCGCCAATTTAAACAAATGATGACCTTAAACTTGCAAAATGTAGGTCTTTAAACAAGCAAAATAACAAGCCCAAGAGGATATAAAGCCAGTTAGACCTACTTGTTGGTCGGATCGAATATGAAGAAGGCAGAGTAGGGTGGGATTGTCTGTGGATTCGCCGTGTTGGTTTCGTTCAGCTCCGATTTCGAAGCCATGTGTCCGTCATCCTGCTCCTCCTCCTCGGCAAACATCTCTTCATAGTTCATCTCCATATAGGCTATAAACAGAGGCGTTGGTTGGCTTAGAACAAGTCACTTCAACGAAAAATTCAACACATGCTAGTTTGAAACATTCGTTCTACTTAAATGCAATACAGTAGAAGAAATTTTATTCATGCAGCTTTTGCCATGCCGGAGCTTGCAGCCAACGCTGCCGGGCCGAAAATTCGTGCTTCAGTCACCAACTTACCGTCCAGGGGGCCTTTTGTGTTGGCAGAACTAAATACCAATTGAGCAAATTTGCAGAACATGTTCAACGATCGTTAAATTAAAACATACGGTGATTAAGAGCCACATGTGGAGAACGTGCAGGGTTTCACCACAACAAAGAACAATTCGCAACAGACAACATGGGTCTTACGCGTCAACAGCCTTCTTGGAGGATCCAGACGTGCCGTGCCTGTCGAGAGTGTCATTTTCGTCGTCTCCACCGCTTTCTTCGTCCTCATCGTCTTCGGCACTCAAGTTGTCCACCGCGATGGCCAAGAAGACGTTCAGTAGGATGTCTAGAAGGGGTTTGTGCAGCGTAAATGCCATCAGCTACACTTAAAGTAACTTATTTTTGAAATATCCGTTCTGTGGTAGTGATTACATACTTAAGCAAATTACACCACTACCTTTGTGATTTCAGTAATGTTTTTATTACCGCGATTTCATAAGATGCGGTGTAAGGAATCGGGGCATAGGCTACGATACAGGGCGATTAAGGCGTCACCTGAAATTAGTTCTGTCCATGAGCTAATTAATCAACTTATTAAGTCCACAAATGATGTCTGGGTCGAACGCAAAGACATCGTAATCGCAGTAACCACTGAAAAACGACTTAGTGAGGGCCAATGAAAATGCAGGAAACAGATTCGCTCATATTTTGCATTACAACACTGGATATTGATTCGGTTAACACAGGAAATTTTGATTTACTTGAAAAGTTAACGCCACAACAACTGATGATCAATATGCATGTCTAATTTAGCCAGCCAGTAATGATGGAAAGTCGCCAGTGGTTTGCAGTCATTGGCTACCAAATTAACCAATCACACAAATCATTGGCTAGGATGTACACATCACAGTGCTGGGTGTTCGTGGTTTGGCATTGTTAATCCCTATTTATGGAAGCACAATGGCAATTAGTGGCAATCACGATTCAACTACATGATAGAAATGTATTCGCTTGAAAAACGCCTCATTTTTAGTTCCAAATTACTGTGTTCACAGGCAACAGGACTGGCTATAAGGAGAACACAAAAATTTTCTTGAAGTCCGTTAGCTGGCATGGTTCAAAGTGTATTCCAAATGTTTAAGATGTGTTATAACCCATGTCAAAGCCACCAGTAAGTATCTGGGACAGATTTCCCAAATAAAACTCATTTTTCTGTTTTTTTTTTTTAAAATACGATATTGTAGTAATCAAAACACACTTCAGTCTGGTGTCGGTTTATTTTTGACGTAACGAAGGTGATTGGCTAAATTTGAAAACGACAACTCAGACCTCGAGTTACAGCTAACCAATAGGGAACGTTTTAGGGGAACCACGCGCAGGGATTGGTCGAGAGAATCTGCTCCCACCAGAGCGTCATTTGAGACCAACTGGAGTGAGTTACTGTTGGCGATGGCTCGAATGCCTCGATAGTACTATCGTGGGAGCCCCTTTGAAGGCATCTTTAGAAGACAGGAACTAAATTGCAGGAGTGTTGGTGAAGAAGGAAGTGGGTACTTACAATTTCCAACAACGAAGACAACCACGAAGTAGATGACGACAATGGCGAACCAGGGGCCGTCGGATTTGTACGCGCGCATCCCGTTGTACATCACGGCGTTCCAGTCCTCACCGGTCAGCATCTAAAAGTCGCAGCTGATTGGCTGAAAGAGACTTCTCACCAACTCTCAGTGGACAGTCAAAAGAGGTGTGCAATTTGAAGCCAGTGACTCATCCCTAACTTACATTGACCTCGGTTTATATGTACTTTATAAATGCACTTTTATCCAACCTCGTCTTGCCTACGGGTGAATTAAAGGCTGCGCCCGCAATATGTGGTGATGTTGAGCAAATCCAAGAGAACTTCACACAGCAACCAGCCGCGCTCAGTGATATTTTAGTGGACAATTCAGAGAGACTAATTTTTACCCAGCTATCTAGCTGTAGGCTAATGAGATGCAGTAACATCTCCGGATAAACCAGATATTTACTCAAACCTAAAGCGATGTTGAACTTGTCTTTTTCAGATCTACAAAAATTTGGTTAATTTTCGAAGATTGGAGACACGATCAAGTCCATAACTTGTTCCTAAGCAACGAGTTTGTGCTGGCCTCGGAATAGTCGCAAATAAAATGTCGCATTAATTTAACAGAAGGTCAATGAGTTGCTTCCGCCAGCTACAATACTGCGTCTGTAACTGTCAGACAATAAGATTGGGTTAAGACTAAACACAAAGCCTCAGTATTTTATTATAATCATCAAAAAGTGAGAGCTAAGGGGTTAGCTGTCAAATTAGAAATGTTTATCAACTTGTTCGGCTGGCCATGGTTGGGCTAGAAATTTGTTTTAGTAAGCTAAATTAACTTTCACGAAACCTTTTCACGCTGGCTACATGTAAGGGAGAAATTAGCTTCAGGAACTACCAAATCGGGAAGAGCTTTGACGTCAAAATCCGAAAGCACACAGACGATTGGTCAAAATTTACAGCTGTAGGTTGCCGTACCAGAAAGTCCCACGCCTCAGTAAATTTGAAGAATTGTCTACGTTAAATGGCAGACTTGTCGTGAATCGTTTTTATTCACAGCCCTTAATCCGGTCGCTCCACCTCCTACACAGGGTTCCCCTTTTCGCAGCATGTCACCAGCCACGCAGATCCTCAACTCCCCCTTCATTAGCAGGAATATTTCTCTTGGGGTATCCTCACACATGGGTCTCGATGTTAGCGCATGTATGACTCACACATCCGAGGCATAAATACACGCGCAAGCCCCACACACGGCACAACGACACCAACGTGGTCGAGCTCTGAAGTAAACGGTCGTGTCCACGTCCTCTCCGATCGTTTTCTTCATCTTGGGTATTAGGCAAGGGTAATCGGGTCAGGGTTAATTTTCGTGACCCCGGCGTGGTTCAAGGCCATATGCTGGGGCCCACAACAGACTTAATCAGAACATTTGGGTGAGAGAATACGACCTCCCAAGTGGTCGAGCTCGATAAATTTCATTCTCACAAACTCGTCATGTTAAATCTTCTTGCAAACATGCGTTTCTAGGCACTAATTTCGCTTGACGAGATTTAGACACCAAGAGGTGAGTTTGTACCTGAAAGACCGTAATCATGGACTGAACGATTCCATCGAAGTGGCTTCGTGGTTTGTCGGTGTTGGGGAAGTTGAAGGTGCCTCCAAACCACTGCATTCCGAGAAGGGAGCAAATGAGGATGAAGAGGAAGAGCAGCAGCAGAAGGCCTGCAACCGACTTTATTGATTTTAGCAGGCGATTTACCAATCCCCTCAAACCGGCCCAGTAGCTGCAGAGGAAGAAGAAAATGATGTTTTCACCACTTTGTGGGGGTAAACGCAGAGAAAGCTCTTTACGGAGAAGTATATTTGCACGAGTTAAATAGTTTTCGCAAAAAAATTGCAGCTCTCAGGCGTATACTTTTGTTCACATTTATTGACCAATCAAATTCGCTCAAATTCTCCGTTAAAAACTTCACCGAACAAGCGGATACTTTAAAGTTATTCATCATCGAGTCACCAGTGAGTTGAATTCCTTCAAATCATCGAGACCGGAAAGAGTAAATGGCCCGTAAATGGTCAAACAACTCGTATTAACTACGAAAATGGAAAAGCAAAATAATGATGACCGGTATTCTTCGGAATTTTTATGCAGGAGTTACGAGCCAAAATGCACTTTTTCTGAAAAAACAAAATATCTCGGGAAACAAGCACGTTATTCGCAACAAGGCATTTTGACAAAAAATATTACCATTCAATATTGTTGCACTACCCCTGCGATGATTGGCCAGTCTGGTAGCGTTACTTGAGTCTGATTGGTTAATGGCTAGCGAATAAAAACCAAGAATTTCCTGGGTGCGCGAAGTTACGTGACACTTCACGAAGTGGTGCATAATCGAAATTCCCTGAATTAAACTTTGGCACAATTGAGAGTTGATAATTTTTAAAAATTTTAAACAGAAGATCTCACTGTGTAATCTTGAAAATTCGTAAGAGGCGGGCGCATCTCAGCACCGATAGCCCCATAGGGTCTATCAGTCCCAAATGAGTAAGAATTATCTCCAGAATTGAAGCTATAACGACGAGAAAATCAAATCGGTTGAAGAGAGTCGCGAAGTAGTCCTGGAGGCCGTAGGCGCACATTTTGATAATCATCTCCAGAGTGAAGAGACTCACGAAGAGGACGTTGGCGAAGTCTGCAAGAAAAGTTCCAGCTGAATTTTAAAAATTGTGCCCAATTTCCCAAGACATCAAGGTGGGTTTTGGCTGTAAACCATCCGTGTTCTATTTCAAACTGCGTAGGAGATTGTTGGAGTTTGAAAAAACACACCAATTTAGTAGTTGATTCAAACAAGCGTTCCACGTCCTGAATAGATAATATCACACTAATAGCAATTACGTTAGCCAATCAAATTAATCGATTAAACGTACTTTGGAATTGGTTAAGCCAGACTGGTTGATTGTGGTGCTCGGTTACTAAGACAATTGTGTTTAGCAAAACAAAAGTGAGGATCAGCGCGAAGAACTGGCGACTCTTCACGAAGGCCGCTATCACCCGTCTCAGACGCTTTCGAAATTTCTTCAGACGTCTGCAATGAAAAAGTAACCAAGTAGGATGTCTTCATAGCCAAGAAATGTGACTGTATATTGGATTCAGATGATGATGCAGTAACAGTAACAATTCCG